AAAAAACATCAAGATTTGTGCGTATCATTCCTTTCAACTACAACAACGTGGTACACTGCAAGATTTGTGCGTTTCATTCCTTTCAACTGCAACAACAAGGTTTGTGCGTTTCAATCCTTTCAACTGCAACAACATGGTACACTTCAAGATTAGTGCGTATCATTCCGTTCAACTGCAACAACATGGTACACTTCAAGATTTGTGAGTATCATCCAGCAAACTTCAAAAGAAGCCCTATGACTCCAAGGGTTACACACACACACACAAAACACCCCTCCACGGACCGGCCGGCCTTGCCGGGGGCAGCTCCACCGGGGTCTGGAAGCTCTCGTAGTCCCACACCTGCGCGATTCGAGCACGCCGGAAGACCTCGGTCGGGAGGTCGGGGAGATCGCTTTTCTCAAGACCAACTGGATGACCTGGGGTACCTTTTTGAGCAGCCAGTGGACTTCATGCTTCCTCCAAGGATGATCCGACCAGACGGTCCGGTTCCGGTCCTCTCCGGGTTCGGGGGTTCGGTGGTTCAGTCCGAGCGATAGTGGTGCCTTGATGCAATCGTTCAGGCAAACGAAGAGCTTCTTCTTCACATTGGCCAAGCGATGGAAGCAGCCTGACACGTCACGTTCTGCAGAAAGTGTTTGGAGCCCAGAACAGGTGTACCCGGAAAGAGATCATGGTGGCCTGACACGAAAGGGGAGGCAAGGTGTGGCGTGTTGTTGTTGTTTCTCGAGCTGACCTTCCGAGCTGAGTGCCCCAGTGGGAGAAACATCTCAGATCATCTCACCTGAACGATGTGCCCCTCAAGAGATGTTGCTCGACTCTGCTCTACCGCCCGCAGGGCGGCCAGAAGTGAGGAGAAGTATATGCAGCTTCTTTGGGCAGAACATATACAGCTTAGCACCCAAAACGATGGTGCACAGATCTGGCGGGAAAAAAGGAACATCAGGCAAGATCATCCTGTTTTCAATTCCCTTTCTTGGGTGACCAATGTTGATGTCAGGTTGCAACGTGGCACATACTTCGTCACTTCATCTGAAGTAGACCGGTTCTGTTGGTCCAACCACTGACTCCAGTCTCCCCCACGCAAGGGGTCGGTGTCCAAAGCGGCTTCGACTCGTCGCTTCTCTTCGACTCCTTTCCCGGTTCAGCTCACATCACCTTGAAAAGGAGACCATCCACCCCCAAGGTGTCGCAGGAGATGTGAACAGTTAGGGCCTCATGTCCTTCGTTTGGGCTGCCAAAGCACCACTCCGCAGCACGTCGGCCGCTGAGTTTGGGCCCAAGAAACGTCGGAAGTTCTGTCCAGTGTCGATCTCCCGAAGCACCTCGGCCCATCGACCGCCCACGCGCGCGAGGCTCGCCACGAAGTCGGAGGCTGGCGTTAAGTCCACAACATCGGGCCCCAACAAGATCAGCCCAGCTGCCCCAAGATGGATGGACACAACGTCCAAGGCCGAAATGGAGGGTATGAACACCGCCCCAGGGGGGCAGGCTTGCTGAGCTTTCGACCGTCCCATCGCAGGCCCGAACTACTTGCACTACTCGTCCATTCTCCCAGAAAAAGACATTGCCTCGGAGAATGCTGCACCGCCGCGTCTTGTAAAGTGACGTTCCCTGCGACGAAGCAAGTCTTGTAGGGCATTGTAGGGTAAGTTACATAAATGGCTACCAAGACTTCTTACGACACTCCAAGTCCAACACGCTCTATCCAACTCTCGCTTCTTCCCTTCGGTTCGATCCGTTCGGTTCTATCACCTGCAAATCCTGCGGAGTCCTTCGATGGACAAAGACGAAGAGATGCACCGAAGCAGAAAATCCTGGGACCCCCGTGCAATTGTCTGCAAGCTCCAAGCCTCAAGCTGCCGCGAGCCCGAGCGACGACGGCCGAACGAAGCGACGCCCGTGGCGCGGCGCGGCGCGGCCGCAGGAAGCCGCAAGCACTTCTGGGGAGGCCCGGCTGCCACGATAGCGCCTGCGTCTGGCGTGCCTGACTGGAGGGTGAAGAGGATGAAGGCAGCAGGGAATCGGACAGCTGGTGTGAAAAAGAAAGCAAAATTCGACAAGTGGCTCTCTCTACTGCAGCAGAAGCAGAACTGTGCTATGCGGCCCCTTGGTCGCGAAATGCACCATTCAACTCCAACTCCAGTCGCAAGCCCTAAGACAACTGGACGCAGGAAGCACTGGAAAATCGCACCATCCACCATGAGAAGGAGGCCTCCAAAAACTCCATCGTTCCCGCCCCGCTGACCCGGTGACTCACGGACTGGTCCGTCAGAACGGAACGAGCCTGTCCTTGAACAGAACTATTGGCATCAACTTAGCATGTCTTCACTTGTGTTATTCATATAGCTCACAGCTTCGTTGGTGACAGAACCGTGGCATTTCTTGACTTCTCTGTGATGGTGGTGACTGCAACGTAGCGATCGATTCGATCGATTCTGCAAAGGATTACCCGTCAATCGTTCTTTTGCCTTCAATTTGTGATATTCCACTCAGTTCATGAGCTTGCTCATGGTGTTCCTGGAGAACAATCTGTCCTGCCTCAAGGGATTTGTATCATTTATCCGCATCTTTGTTGGCCCAATTCATGGTGTTGTTGGCTATTCTCACCAGGAGTGATCTCGCAAGAAAGAGACTTCGGAGTGACGAGGAGTGATCATTAACCTACAATATGCAGTTGCGCACGTCTGAGTGATGAAATCTCCTGACAGAGCCCAAGGAGATACTTCAGAACCAGAAAGACATGGCAGAAGTTCAGGAAAAAAAGAAGTTTCTGACAACACAGGAAGAGAAAAACAAGAACAAGGACCACAAGGAGGACGAGCTCAGGGCCCAGATGAGGTCTGCTGACCTGTTGGACAAATCACAGCGTTTGGAGGAGTGGTTTGAGCTGAAGGATCAGGGTGCTGGCGAAGCAGATGGCCAAGACACAGAAAGACGTTTCATTGTCCTTGCGACGAGCCCTGCGACAAAAGAGTCGCGCGGTGATTGATGCACCAAGTTCTCCTCCATTTTAAGCATGCTTTTGGGCACCCCATCTACTGCCAATCCAGAAACAGGGCTTCCTCCCAAGTCCATCCTGGTCTTCCTGGTCCATCCACCCATCACATCCACCACAGAGACCCTGAACAGCAAACATCACACGCCTCCGGGCGGTGCCGGGCACAGCAGAGGAGCCTGCAAAGTCCTGGCGCGAGGCCTTCGAGACCTGGATCGGGGGAAGAAGAGCCCGGGCCAACTCCTACAGAGGCCAAGTTGTCCTACGGAGCGGCTTCATGCATCAAAGGTCAACGTGCTGAACCGCCACACACTAGCCGACCTTGTCTGGCCTGAAATCCACTTCCAAGCAATCCTTCCCTGTGGTCTCTGATTTGTTTGTGTCCTCAACTTTTAAGGTGGCTTTCCTTCACCTGATTGGCTGTCCACCTCACAGTCTCTTCACGTGGCTTCGCTAGGCCTCCGAGTGGCTCGCCCCCGGCATCACCCATCCGGCAGCTTTTTCAACCGATCGGATGCATCGATGCTTCATTGACAGATTTGGGTGGCTCAAAAAGGTTGGGTCGTGCGAAAACTCCCTTCACTGGCGTTCAAAAACTATAAACATATTTCATTCAACGGCGCTTGGTCCTTTCGTTTCGCCACCTCATGGCTCAGGTTCCATCCAACCTCATGGGTGCCAGATGCTCCCTCACGCGACCGGTCGGGGCCAGGTGAGACCGCCTCAGACGGGCTCTTCACAGGCCCCAGACCTCGAAAACCGGCAACCGAACTCGAGGGCTGAGCTGGTAGAAAAACGGAAAAACGACGAGTTGGCTGCCACCTGCGAGTACCGGGTATGTAGGTTGGTGCAATTGCTTGTTTTGGTTGGCGTCATGTTCGCATCCCTTCCTCAGGATCTGTCTCGAAGCCAAATAACCGTCATGGCATTCTCAAGAAGTGCGGAAAAATGTGAAACGAGGACCATCGAGGGACCATTTACTTTGAAGAAAGAATGAGCACAACTGCTTAACGTGAAAGCTGGGTAAACTGCTTCCCCCAATCAAACCACCAAGCAAACACTCGTTTCTGTGCCTGCCGGCGTCTCTTTGCCTGCCGATTCAGACAAGACACCGTGTTCAATGCCTGCTGCAACTTCTGTTCACCAATGGTGGCCAAATGTCTGGCATAGTTGTCAAACCTCGGAAGAGATCTCGCACTGAATGATGAAAACAGGCTCCAAATCTCCCCTCCCCTGCAGGTCCCATGGTCCATGAACATGCAGTCCTTTTGCACCTGCTAAAGGAAAAAAAGCGACTCCCAAGAGGGGATCATCTGCTTTTTGGCGAAATAGCAACCCCCCTGCACCCCTGCATGGTGGTAAAAAGGCATCCCTGGACTTCCCTTTCACCGCTTTGCGCCACCTGAAATCACAAGACTTATCTAGACCACGACACAAATCAAAACCCGCCCTACGAAGAGGAATTTCAATATGGTCCAAGAGCTTACATGGGTGTGTGTGTTTCAACGACCCGGAACCAACGGGTAGACTGGTCTATTTGTCCGAACTGTCCAGGAGGGGATCTTCCACAAGAGAGGTCTCCCTTCTTCGAGCTACACACCCCAAATCTCTTGGAGCCTGAGACCTTCAGGATCTCCTCCACCCGCACCAGGCGGCCACGTATGGCATCACTCTCCACCTTCCAGAATCAGACCTTCACATTGTCCCTACCCATTAACCACACGACCTCTCCAGACCCCCACAGGACCTTCCTCCCGGGCCACGTTCGCTCGGTTACTGTCTGCCGCATCGCCTACGACGATCGGTCGAGACCAGCGAAGCGTTTGACGCCCCACGGGGTTCGGAGGGTTCGGAGGGTGCCGACTTCGGTTCGGAGAATGGCATGATGACTGTCATGTCATGATGTATTTGCATCAGACATAGACAAACTCTCATGCCATAGATGAATTCTATGTCGTCCTAGAGTGCAAACAAATGATCGGACTGCCTTGTGATTGACCATCCCTTGTTCTGTGGTTCCAGAGTGATTTCGCCTGGGTCAGCACCTTTGTCATCTGAAGGTCTGGAACATCTGTTCGAACATCACCTGCCAGATCCTCCCGAAACCAGGTGATGACCCCTCCAAAACCCGTGCGGCATGCTCCAATCAAGGCCGCACCGCGCAACCCCAAAGGCTCTGTGTGTTCTTCCTACTGTTTTGACCCACCCAGCTGGCGCCCCGAAGGAGCGGAGGCGCAACCACCGCGCCTCGATCATGCCTTCGAAGTCGCTAGCTGCCAGAGTCCGAATCAGCCAAATGGTGATCGTCTGCCTCGGCGCGCCGAAGAGGTCCCCGTTGGATGGCACATGGGTGGCGAGTCGCACAGGTGAGACCGGGGACGGGTTCGGCAACTAAGAGAAGCCGGTGTGATCCTGCAGTTCAGTGCCGTAGCTTTGTTCGGATTCATCCAGCTTCGACCCTCACATGATCCAGAGAACAAGGCACTTGTTCCATGAACCAGGCAGCCTATTGTCGTATTCAGGAGACATAAACCAGAAGACTCTCTCGACTGGCATGGCCCAATCCCTGGAAGCTACGAGACCTTGAAGTCGGGACTTGGATCCTCTGAAACGAAACGCTGATGACTTGCAGGCTTCCAAACGAACGCTGCCCAGTTGAAGTCCGAGTTTGGAGAACCACTCGAGCCGATCAGTCAATGGGTCGATGGATCTTGGCTCTTCAGCACTCGTCTTTTGAGAGTAAGAAGATACTGAAGAGATGAGTGTGTCTCCAGATCAGGCATCAACAAATGTTCACAGTCCTTATTAGAGTCTTTTTCGTCAGAGTTGCTGGTCAACTCAGGTCGTTTGTTTCTGACCCCCTCTCCAAACCTCCGCCCCAACCGTCCCGTCTCCCAGTCGGTGCCCAGGGTGCTGGAGGGCGATCTGCGAGATGGATCGGATCGTCACCAACACCACCTGAATCAAAGCCTCGATCGGGCGCCGAGCTCCGAGCTCCGAGGCGCAGCGGGAGTCCGGGCGCGGGCCATGTCCGAGTCCGGGCGCCGGTCTTCGGCGTTGGGTCGTTTTGCTCCGCAGTGGCAGGTTGGAGGTGGAGGAGCTGGGAAAAAGGGTGATACCTTTTCTCTGCATGTGTTGGACACCAACAAAGATGACAGTGGCTGGAGGTAGAGTCCAAACAGAAGTGCAGTCCATGTGGATTGGGAAAATGACATGCCTGCCTGACCTTTAGTGAAATGATCATCCGGGTATGGGGACTCACCGCTCATGGATGAAGCTTCCTGACACTCTTTGATCCGCAAGTCAAACGAAAAGACCGCGGAGAACAGGGTCAATGAAGCTGGCAAGCTGCGTCATCGATGGTGTTCTCGTCATTCCTGGGTGTCCACTGTCTTGGCTTCTGGAACAGCAAGACGGTCGCATCGACGTCGGGTGTTACACTCCCGTGGATGGCATGGCCCCCCTGGGAGGAACCTTCCTCTTCTTCTACAAACAGTACAGTTGGGGAACACCACGTAACCATGAAAACACACCACTAGGACAAAGGGGTGTTTCTTCTTGAAGGTTCCATATCGAGAACCCTTTCCCCATTGAATCCTGCTGTCGACGCACAGGTTGCTTATGTCGCCTCACACGGTCGAATGTCCTCCCTCCACAGCTGTTTAACTGTTACAAATTCAGAAGAGAGTGAAAATTTATCGTCCCACACTGGCCACGTAAAATGGACTTCTTAATTCCACCGCAGCTGATCCATAATATAGAGGATATAAGACCCAAGAAAAAAAGAGGTTCCTCCTGAAGTACTTCAAGTAGTGTAGTGTCCCGCTGAAGATCCTCCAAGGCTCTCATGCTTCATTTGCTTGCGGAGGGATGGAGCGTGCCTCTCGTTGACATCATAATTGAAGAGCATTTCTCGCCCAAGACAAAAGTCCACGCAGCCTTTGCCATAGGGTGTGGGGCAACTGGAATCCTGTCGACGATTCAATCGGTGTTTTCATCAAAGGAATGCACAGAAGGAAAGTGACCAAATGGGACAAGAACAGATCTGCGAAAGACACCAAAAATATCCCAACTCTCTCTCTCTCTCTCTCTATCGACGTACTTCTCTCGTGAGGACCTTCGCTAACTTGTCAATTGCCAGTTCAAGCACTTGATCACATTCTTCCTTCAACCAATCATCAAAACCAACCCTTCACGCAATTCATGTGCTGATGCCACACTCCTCTCTTAGCTCTCCGAGCGAAGCGGCGTCCTCATCATCACTCGACGACGGCTCATCAAAGGGAGAGAAGTCGTGAAGAGCTTCAGTCACTCCATCCAGTTCCTACAGCTGTGTTGTGGAGACTGTTTCTTTAATATAACTACCCCCACATGGAGATGTAAAACCATTCCGGTAGAAGAATTTGATTCATCCACGGTCTACATGAAGGGTCGAAATGTTTGCATCTGCAGGTCCTGTTCTGCCCAAAAAACAAAACAAAACATGCACCTCTGCCAGAGAACCCACTTCACACAGTCAGTCGACAGGTGTCTTCTTTCGTGTGGGAATGAAATGGACATCTGCGGGTCTCACGACCCCTTTTTCCAGCACAGACTCAGCAGCCAGGGCTCCCTCCGCTTCCGAGACTCCTCCGCACCCCGGACCCACCACGCCAACCAACCGCTCACCGCGACGCCCACGATGACTTCCGAGGCGCGTGGCGATACTGGGCGAGGTGGTGCATGCACGCCTCGGCGGCGGCGATTCGGGAGGCGCAACGTCTTGTTTTGGGTTCACCACGTGACCATCGCATGATACTTCTGAAAAGGGTCTGAATGTTTCACAGGTGGTTATAGGTTCTGGTTGGTTTTGGGGAAAGAGCTCCTTCTTTTTACTGTAGACTGTTCCGCAAATGGTGTTTGTGAGCGGATTCCCCCGACTCAATGTGAGACCTCCGGCTTCGTCTACTTGGTTCTTCTAACACCCAAAGGCAATCTGATTGAGGGGATCTTTCTCGAGATCCGATCCACTCAAACAAAGGCATCCAAAAGGCCAGCTGTACCAGAGCTCAGCTCAGCTCTGATTCTTAGTGGCCACCACACAAAACCCGTCTTCGCACACCGATGGTGCTCATTCACACACGGTCCCCACAGATCTTGGAATGGATACCACATGTTGTCAGGCCGACATACAATCACTTGGCCAGATG